CTGATGAGCGCCCACTTTGGCACTTTAACCCGACGTTTGGTTCATCCCACATCGCCAGTTCTGCTTACCAAAAATGGCCCACTAGGCACTCCGATTCGTTGTAGGGCTTCAATCAAGCAAGTCCCACTTCTCACCCATTTAAAGTTTGAGAATAAGTTGAGGGCGTTTCGCCCCCAAGACTTCTAATCATTCGCTTTACCGGATGAAACTCGGTCACGAGCACCAGCTATCCTGAGGGAAACTTCGGAAGGAACCAGCTACTAGATGGTTCGATTAGTCTTTCGCCCCTATACCCAGCTCCGACGATCGATTTGCACGTCAGAATCGCTACGGTCCTCCATCAGGGTTTCCCCTGACTTCAACCTGGCCAGGCATAGTTCACCATCTTTCGGGTCCCAACACGCGTGCTCCTGCTGCTCCAGATGAGACGAGGTCAAATTGAAGCGCCGGGGCTGCGCCCGCACCAAACGGCACGAGGATCGCCCCTGCATTTGCTTTCACTGCGCCCTTGGGTTTCGTCCACCCAATGACTTGCACGCGTGTTAGACTCCTTGGTCCGTGTTTCAAGACGGGTCGGAGGGGCCACCGACCTACTCGCAACAGAGATGCAGCCAGTGCCAACAACGGGTTGAACACTCGCTATACGAGGCCGCTCTGCTACCCGCCGGCCGCACGGCTCAGAACGCAGGGTGCTCCACTCGCCAACGCTGGGCCGGCAAACGGAACTTCACCCAGGCCTGCAGCATGCAATTGCCAGCGGTACGTTGCGTGAAGCGCCAGAGAAGTGCAACCCTCGGGCGAGCAGCAAGCCGTCCGGCCCTGCCCGCAAGGGTCAAGAACCGCACGGACTGCCACCCGAGAGCCTGAATCTCCGGCGCAGACTTCGAGAAAACCCCTCCGCTTACCACTACACAGTTTCACGTACTGTTGAACTCTCTCTTCAAAGTTCTTTTCAACTTTCCCTCACGGTACTTGTTCGCTATCGGTCTCGGGGACATGTTTAGCCTTACGTGGAGTTTACCACGCGCTTTGAGCTGCACTCCCAAGCAACTCGACTCTGGGGAGACGGCAACGAGGAGGAAGCTTCAGCTTTACAGGCCTATCACCCTCTGCGGGCTGTAGACCCAGTCATGGATGACTTAAGCCTCAGCAGCCACCTCTAAAGCCGCTCCCAAACACCACATGCCGCACGTCCCAAAGGGACGGCAGTTCGGTGCTGGGCTCTGCCCGTTTCATTCGCCATTACTAGGGGCATCACGGTTGTTTTCTTTTCCTCCGCTTATTAATATGCTTAAATTCGGCGGGTAGCCTTGCTTGCTCTCAGGTCGAAGATTCAAAGCGAGGCTGGGGGGGGAGGACAAGGCACAGCCGGCAGCCAGCCAACTGGCTGGCCGACCGACCGTTCCCGTCTGCCCCCTTCCCCCACTCTCGCTCTCTGCCAGCCACCTCCGCAGGAGGACAACCGGCCGCTGCCAACCGGAGCCGCGTCCGTCACCAACGCAACCCAGGAAACGGTTACTTTCCCAAGAGTCACCGGACGGAGACACGACCCTGGCCGCACACAAAATTTTGAAGGCATGCAGCAGCAGCAGCAGCAGCAGCGGCAGCTGGCTGGCTGTTACACCTGCCACCTGCCTGCCTGCCTGCCACCTCCACAAAAGCCTCACTGCCAATCGGCTCGTGCAGGCGTTGATCGCCAAGCCAAGCTCCTTGGATGGGTTGAACCGACCCTGAGTCAAACATGGACTTCCAACAGAGGGAAGTCCGCAATATGCGTTCAAAGTGTCGATGCTCATGTGTCCTGCAGTTCACATTCCGACGCGCAGTTAGCTGCGTTCTTCATCGACCCCCGAGCCAAGTGATCCACTGTACAGTGTTGTTTTTCCGCTTCGCCGCCTCCTCCTCCTCTTCCTTCCCTCATGCATGATGAGGTTAGGCAGGTTGGGGCCGGCGTGCAAACAGCCAACGGTTGTGCAAAACAATCCCATCACGGGGGAGCACAAGGAAACCCGAGCCGTGGGCAAAGACACTTACGCGGCTTTTTGCGGTGCGTGCCTGCCCATGTGTGCTCCAGCTGCCGCAGCAGCTGGAACCAGGCAGATTAGCAGCACCTCACCGCACCCAAGACTCGGGCCCACTGCCAGGCACAGGAAGCCACTGGGACTTCGACAGCACAACACGCAGTGTAACGGGCCACGCTGCAGGCAAGCAGCAGCCCAGAGCCCTGTCGTTCGGTGGTGGTGGTGGCAGCAGCACCAGCAGCAGTGGCAGCGGCAGCAGAAGCCACCAAACCGACCGACTGCTGGCGCAGCAACCAACCGCCACCACGAAACCAGGAGCCCAAGACAACCTTCACGGTCAGTCAGACGACAACCAACAAGCAACCGTTGTTAGCTCGTTTGTTCGTTAATGATCCTTCCGCAGGTTCACCTACGGAAACCTTGTTACGACTTTTACTTCCTCTAAATGTTCAAGTTTGATAAACTTCCCGAAGGCCGCGTGGCGCAAGCCAGTCGGCTCTCAGTCCGAGCATCTCACTAAAACATTCAATCGGTAGTAGCGACGGGCGGTGTGTACAAAGGGCAGGGACGTAATCAACGCAAGCTTATGACTTGCGCTTACTGGGAATTCCTGGTTCACGGAGAATAATTGCAAGCTCCGATCCCTACCACGAAGGGGGTTCAGCGGGTTACCCGATCCTTTCGGACCAGGAAGAACACACGCTGATGCCTTCAGTGTAGCGCGTGTGCAGCCCAGAACATCTAAGGGCATCACAGACCTGTTATTGCTCAATCTCGTGCGGCTAAGAGCGCGCTAGTCCCTCTAAGAAGACGAGGCCCATCCTTGCAAGGACGGTCCGCCTATTTAGCAGGATAGAGTCTCGTTCGTTATCGGAATTAACCAGACAAATCACTCCACCAACTAAGAACGGCCATGCACCACCACCCACTGAATCGAGAAAGAGCTCTCAATCTGTCAATCCTTCCAGTGTCCGGGCCTGGTGAGATTTCCCGTGTTGAGTCAAATTAAGCCGCAGGCTCCACTCCTGGTGGTGCCCTTCCGTCAATTCCTTTAAGTTTCAGCTTTGCAACCATACTTCCCCCGGAACCCACACGCTTTGGTTTCCCTGAAGCTTCCAGCGGAGCCTACAAAAAAAACAGCCGCTGATCGCTAGCTGGCATCGTTTATGGTTAGAACTAGGGCGGTATCTGATCGCCTTCGAACCTCTAACTTTCGTTCTTGATTAATGAAAACACTCTTGGCAAATGCTTTCGCAGTCGTTAGTCTTCAGACGGTCCAAGAATTTCACCTCTAGCGTCTGAATACCAATGCCCCCGGCTGTCCCTGTTAATCATTATGTCGATTTCCGAAAACCAACAAAATAGAAACGACATCCTATTCCATTATTCCATGCACGAATATTCAAGCGTGACAGCTTGCTTTGAGCACTCTAATTTTTTCAAAGTAAAGGTGGCGGTGCCTGAGGACACCCAATGAAGGAGACCCTCAAGCGGCCGCCAGAGTCACGGGTAATGGGGCAGTAGCAACAAATATTGAACCGCCCCCTACCCGCCGAGATCCAACTACGAGCTTTTTAACCGCAACAACTTTAATATACGCTATTGGAGCTGGAATTACCGCGGCTGCTGGCACCAGACTTGCCCTCCAATTGTTCCTCGTTAAAGGATTTAAAGTGTACTCATTCCGATTACCGGGCCTCGGATGAGACCGGTATCGTTATTTTTCGTCACTACCTCGATCATCGATCATTGGGTAATTTGCGTGCCTGCTGCCTTCCTTAGAAGTGGTAGCCGTGTCTCAGGCTCCCTCTCCGGAATCGAACCCTAATTCCCCGTTACCCGTCACAACCACTGTGGTCAGCTATAGCACAGTCGACAGTTGATAGGGCACACCTTGGAAGGATGCGTCGCCGGCATGAAGCCATGCGATCAGCCCAAAGTTATCCAGAATCACCAAAAGCACGGCAAACCGGCCGCAAAGCCGCTGCCGTTTGGTTTTGATCTAATCAATGCGCCCCTCCGTGAGTCGGGGCTTGGTCGCATGTATTAGCTCCAGAATTACCGCAGTTATCCAAGTAACTGAAACCATCCAGTACATTAGGTGTGATTTAATGAGCCATTCGCGGTTTCACCTTAGTGAGGCTTGTACTTAGACATGCATGGCTTAATCTTTGAGACAAGCATATGACTACTGGCAGGATCAACCAGGTATCTCGCCACCTTTTCCAGCTGGCCAGCCAGCCAGCTAGCTAGCTGCCTGGCCTTGCTGAGGAAACCCCCAGCTTGGCCAGCCAGCCAGCCACCCAGCCAGCTCGGCTCAGCTCAGCTCAGCAACAGCGGCAGGCTGCAACAGCCGCCTGCCACTGCCACCAGACATACGTTCGTTTCGTTCCTCTGTCTGTCTGTCTGTCTGTCTGCCTGTTCTTTGCCCAACTAGCGTCAAACAAATGCAAACAAACAAACACACAAACGGAAACCAGCCAACCGGCTGCTGCACCTACTCCACCTCTTCTCCGTCACACTCGCTCCTCCTCTCACCGACCGACCGACCGACGGACGAATGACACCTGCCAACCAGAAAACGACAAGGGCTGACTTTAATTTCACCCAAGCCACGCTTCTGGGACGGTCCACCTCGCTTGGGCACCCAGCCAGAAGCATGTTAAAGGCGTGCACGATGCACACACCTAAACAAAGGCGCTGCCTGCTTCCCCGATCGGCCTGTTCACATTCGCGCACGGCAAGCTACAGGAGAGAAATGAGCGGCACAGCAGAGGAGAGGAGAGGAGATGCTGCAGCAGCAGCAGCTGCAAAGAGTCTCCGGTCAAGTCACGACTTTGCACCCTCCGTAGCGGCTAGCCAGCTAGCCAGCTAGCACGCCAGTTGCCAAACAAGTTCGAGAACGCAGTTGCTCGGACAGCAAAGCCCATCGATGAGCTGGCAAACCACACAAACAGAGACGTATCGAGCACTAACAGCAGCCAGCGCACAGTCTGCAAACATGCTCACGTCAACGCTGCCCATGATCAATCACCAGCCAACCAGCCACCCAGCTAACCAAGCTTACCCAGTCCACCACCACACTGCTACAGGCACACAAGTAGAATGACACCACAGCCAGCCAGCCAGCCAGCCACGCACACGCTCCACTCACCCATCCAAGGGAAATGCCATTGGCAAACGGAAGAGCGAATCGCGGCGTTCAGTAGGCCGTCCAGCCAGCTGCACCATCACACCACCACAGGCCACAGCAACGCAATGTGAGCCAGCAAGCTAGCAGCACCAACTCACTCGCATGAAGGAAAGAAGTCACAAAAACGAACAAAAAAAGCAACGTTGGGAAATGGAAGCGCGAAGCCCGGTTGCCCCGTGCCACCACAACAGCACAGCAGGCTAGCCAGGCCGTACTTCCTTTTTTTTCCTCGTTTTGCCCATCTTGCCCGTTTTGTCAGTCACCTTTTTCCTTCACCACTCACATTTTACCCAAGTCTGTGGAAGTCGCGCATTTCCGTCGGTTCCATTCGCATAACATGGTTGTCCAAACTTGTTGTAATATAAATCTTGCCACAGTACATAACCCTCTCTCGCAAGAAGCAACTCTGGAACATAGCCAAATTTACTACATAGACATACATTTGGGACTCTGTTTTTTTCCGGCACTTGTAATTTTTTTTTCAAACTCTTGGACTTAACCAAATTTACTACATAGCCATTTGGGACTCTGTTTTTTTCTTTCGTGTCCGGCACTTGTAATTTTTTTTTCTTTCTTTTCCGGCACTTGTAATTTTTTTTCAAACCCTGGGACTTAACCAAATTTACTGCATAGTCAATATTTGGGACTCTGTTTTTTTTCTTTCTTTTCCGGCACTTGTAATTTTTTTTTCAAACCCTGGGACTTAACCAAATTTACTACATAGACATACATCTGGGACTCTGTTTTTTTCCGGCACTTGTAATTTTTTTTTTCAAACCCTGGGACTTAACCAAATTTACTACATAGCCATTTGGGACTTAGCCATTATTTTTTTTTCTTTCTTCTCCGGCACTTGTAATTTTTTTTCTATCTCTGGGACTTAACCGAATTTACTACATAGCCATCTGGGACTCTGTTTTTTCTTTCTTTTCTGGCACTTGTAATTTCTTTTTCGTTTTTTTTTCTAAATTTTCAAACCAACTCCGGGACTTGACCAAATTTACTGCATAGCCATCCGGGACTCTGTTTTTTCTTTCTTTTCCAGCACTTGTAACTTTTTCGGGGGTTTTTTCTAAATTTTCAAACCAACTCTGGCTGGGACTTAACCAAATTTACTCCATAGCCATCCGGGACTCTGTGTTTTCTTTCTTTTCCCGGCACTTGTAATTTTTTTCTAAATTTCATTTTCCAATTTACTCACTTGGCCCACCACCACCTACAAGAAGCAACTCCGCTGGGACTTGTGATATTTTTCTTCTTTTCACTTTGCTTCTCCACCTTCAAGATGCAAGCAACTCTGGGACTTGGTTTTTTTCCAGGACCTGCGATTTTTTTCTTTCTTTTCGCTTTGGCCCTCCACTTTGCAAGAAGCAACTCTGCTGGGACTTGTGATTTTTTTCTTTCTTTCTTTTCACTTTGGCCCTCCACTTTGCAAGAAGCAACTCTGCTGGGACTTGTGATTTTTTTCTTTCTTTCTTTCTTTTCACTTTGGCCCTCCACTTTGCAAGAAGCAACTCTGCTGGGACTTGTGATTTTTTTCTTTCTTTTCGCTTTTCCCACCACCACCTGCAAGAATCCAACTCTGCTGGGACTTGTGATTTTTTTCTTTCTTTCTTTCTTTCTTATCGCTTTGCCCACCACCACCTGCAAGAAGGAACTCTGCTGGGACTTGAGATTTTTTTCAAGGATGCAACCTGGCAACCTGGCAACCTGGCAACCTGGCAACAACGTACATACGCATCGTGCATGGACGACTTGTCTAGCTGACAAGACAAATCATCCAGTCTGAGGGCTGAGTCTCAATAGATCGCAGTGTGGTAGCTGCTCTACCAAGTACGACACCCCGGCCGGTACATAAGTCGTCTACAGACGATTTGGGGCCTCCACTCTGCCAGGTGGTTGACGAGGCGAGGAAAGCGCACTTGCAGCGCAAACCAAAGTACCCGTGAGGGGGATGGAGCCCGGCCCGAGCCGAAGCCACGGAGCGGGCTAGCCTTCCCCGAGCAAAAAGGAGGCCCAACAGTATCGTTGCCTTGGCTAGATGGGATTCTGCCTTAGAGGCGTTCAGGCATAATCCCGCGGATGGTAGCTTCGCACCATCGGCCTATCGGCCGAGTACGTATACCAAATGTCCGAACCTGCGGTTCCTCTCGTACTGAGCAGGATTACTATCGCAACGACGAGTCATCAGTAGGGTAAAACTAACCTGTCTCACGACGGTCTAAACCCAGCTCACGTTCCCTATTGGCGGGTGAACAATCCGACGCTTGGCGAATTCTGCT